CCCCTGCATCGGCAGGCGGACTCTCAACCACTGCGCCACCAGGGAAGCCCTCGGCCTAGATTTTGAGGCAAGCCCAGCCTTAGTCCCCACTACTCTCCACTTCATGGACCCTAAGCACCAACAGATTCTCTGTCTCCCTACAGCCCAGCAGTGCCTCCCAGTGGCTAATGTATATATGAATTCTCCTTGGGATCTTATTAACATGCAGATTCTGACTCAGTAGGTTTAGGGTGGGGCCCAAGAGCCTCCATTTTGAATGAGTACCCAGGCTATGCTTGCAGCTGCTGGTCCATGAACCACACTTTGAGTAACAAGACCCTTATAGGCTGAGTGTTTGTGTCCCCTGAAAAAGTTTATATGTTGAAGCCCTAACCCCAAATTTGGGCGGTATTTGGAGATAGGTTAAACGAGGTCAGAAGGGTGGGGCCCTAATCCATCAGGGCTGGTGCCCTTATAAGAAAAGAAATAGATACCAGAGTTCTCTCTCTCTCTCTCTCTCTCTCTCTCTCTCTCTACTGTGCAAGGACACAAGGAGAAGGTGGCCTTCTGCAAGCTAGTAAGAAAGCCCTCACCAGAAACTCAAATCAGCTGGAACCTTGATCTTGCACTTCTAACTTCCAACACTGTGAGAAAATTAATTTCTGTTGTGTAAGCCATCCACTCTGTGGTATTTTGTTGCAGCAGCTCAAGCTAAGACAAATTGGTCCTCCTACCTGGAGAATCACCTGGAGAATTTTTAAAATACTGATGCCTGGGTCTCACCCGCAAAGATTCAACTTAATAGGAATGGGGTGTAGCCTGGACAGTGAGATATTGCTAAAGTTCCCCAGGTGCTTCTAATGTATAGCCAACTTTAGAACCACTGCCCTACAGCCATTAGCTACTGTCTTCACTCAAAGGTCTTTATTGACTTGTTCACAAGCTCATTCACCATTTAATTACTGAGCACCTGTGGGCCAGCCTTTGCGATTCAGTGGTAGGTAAGCAAGAGAAATCAGACCCCTGATCTTACAGAGTTTATCATCTACTGGAACAAGAGCATCATCCCCAAATCCATTGGGACTCAAACAGACACACTCTACTCTCCCATCCAACAGATAAATAATAAAGAACATTTCTGAGTACATTCTCAGCAAAAGGAAAGCTAAGTTTCCTTTTAAAAGGTCATGAGACACATGAGTATTTGTACTGTATCCTGGAAGACAGAAATAGTTCCTGCTCAGGTGTGTGTGCATGTGTTTTTCCTAAAAGCCAGGGAAGACTAGCTTGATCAGGCCAGATGGGTGCTCAGACTGTCAACCCTGGTCAAGCTCCCTAGGACTTTGCCACAGCTGCCAAAGCCTGCCCTCGGATCAAAAACCATGATCGTTGTCAGAGTCCTTCTTGACACCAGCTCTGCTACCCCTCCCTCCCGACCCTGTGGAAGGGGTAGATGTTCTGAGAGTGACTTAACAAAAAGAAATTCAGAAAAAAAAAATCAGAGCAGAACAGTTTGGCTTGAGACTGCATCGCTCAGGGACCCCCAGCATCCATTTCACCCCAAAACAACCCCTGTGTCCTGGGCCTTTGCTCTCAGCTGCCCCCCTGACTCTCAGGGAGAGTGTCTGGGCCAGCCAGACTCCAGGCATTCCCATCCACACGGGCTTGCCCAGGAAGACAAGGACTGCAGATGCATCTGATTTCTTGACTCAGGGCTCTACAAAAGTTTTGGGGTTTTTTGTTTGTTTGAGTGATTTAAATTCTGGAGGCTGATTGTCTCCCAAAACAGCTCTGAGCCTCATCTCTAGCTCTCCTCACCTCTATGGGCTAAGGCCAAAAATCTCTGCCCCACTGCCCATTCTTGGGCCTTGTCCCACCACTAGGGTAACCAGCCATCCAGGTTTGCCCCGGACCGAAGAGTTTCCCAGGACACAGGACTTTCAGTGCAAAAACTGGGGCAGTTAGCCACCCTTCCTCATTCCTGCCCACACACAGATGCCACCGAGAGCCTCCACTAACAGTGGTCCTGCTCCCAAGCTTAAAAGCCTGCTCTCAAAGGGAAGCTCTTCCTACCTTCAGGCTTAAACCTCTCCCTCACAATAGCCAAATTCTAGAAAACATCTCCTCTCTCCTTCCTCTGCCCTCTCTCTTCCACTAGCCTATGTCCCCAGCAATACAGCAGTAAATTACCATCCTGTCCTTGGTATTTTCTGAACCACTGATTCATTCCAGAGAAGGAAAAAGATAAGATCACCCGTTCTGGAGACTTTGAGACCATAAGTGAACATAGCCAGGCTCCAAATCTGACCACCTGAGCTCCATCCCCACTAGACAGCCACGTCCCCACGGAGCAGCCATAAACTGGGAAACTCAATTAACCTGTGAGCTTGCTCAGCCTCGCCAAACAGATTCCAGGACCAGATTAGTCTCTCCCTGAGAGTTAAGTGGAGAACCATTAACCATTCTTGCTGAATACATATCAGGAATGGAAAGTCGTGTTCCAAACCCCCAAATGACCTCCATGACACCCGCCCCGACCAGCACCAGCTATAAACCCTAGAGTTAAGGCCATAGGTTGACCAACCATCCTGGTTTGCTGAAACTTTGCCAGTTTTAGCACTCAAAGTCCTGTGTCCCAGGAGAGCCCTCACTCCTGGGCAAACTGGGCTGGATGTTCACCCCAGAGACCAGAAACTTGTATCCAGTGACACTAAGAAACCCTGGTGGAGAGGAGTAATCCAATGCTGTCCAGCACACACCCTACTTCGGGCATGGCAAGCCCCCAAGGGTCAGGTGTGATTAGAGGCCGAAATGGACTGCAGCCCTTTAGGTCCGCAGAGGAGGAATTTCTGAGAGTCCAATCCACCCCCAGATTGCATCCCCGCCAAGCCAAGATGCGAGATCGCGCCAGGGACACACGCCTCCTCCGCCTCCCTGCCCTCTTCTCGCCCACAAAGACAGCCACAGTTTGGGGCTTAATTTTTCAAGCTCATGACAACCATCCAAAGAAATGAAATAATAAATACTTTCTGAACACATTCCTTAGATTATACTTTCAGTTTTTAGAACCTCCCTGGATAGAGCTACCCACACAGCTTTCAACTTTCCTACTGTTCACAAAACCCACTTAGCAGACAAAAATGATCAGGCTTTCCACCTCTCCACACGCCCTCCTCCCATCCTCTTTGGGTCCACTTCTGCCCGAAAGCATTCCCAAGGTGACTTCCCAAAATGAGCGGGGCTAGTGGTTTCTCTAATTGCCCCTTCCCTCCCTTCTCTCTGATCTTATACTGCGATCCACTTGCTTCATACAGGAAGGCATGAAGAAAAGCAAAGGGATTCAGAATGCTGAGGAGGGTTTAGAGGCTGGAGGATGTATCACTGCTCAAATACTGAGTCTCAGGGATAAACGGGGGCCTGGTCCAGTAGGGCTCTGGGGGCTGCACACAAGGCGAGTCAACACAAATCCCCAGAGGCTGCAAAAGAAAAGAGAGCGAAAAACATCCAGGAGGTGGTCTTTGCTTCCCTCTCCCACAACAAGGGCTAAAAGAGGATTTCCTCTTCTCTTATCTTGCCTGCAACTCGACTCCCTCAAGCGGCAGCAGTAACAAGATTAGGAACAAGAGGCCAAACTCAGGTCCTCAGCTTGGAAGCAAGACTGTCCTGGTGGAATCACTAGGGCCGTGCTGCTTGGCCCCTGGAAGGAGGTTGAGACCTGAGAAGGAGCAGTTGGCTGGAATCGCTGCAGGAAGAGAAGACGACCCTGGGTTAAAAGCTTTCAGCTTGCCTCTTGCCGTCTCAGCATTTTGGTTCTGGGAAAACAGGCCCTGGAATGACCCTCAGCAGAGAGTTTACAGGTTCCCCTCCAGCTTGCAAATGGCTTCCCTCCATTTTTCGCATGCAGGCGCTGTTTTGTTTTTTTTCCTCTCCCTCGGATAACATGAAAACACAGCAGAGGATATCCCGTCACAGAGTTTTGTTTCCTTTAACAAAAACAAAAGGAAATGCCCTGCCTCAGAATGCACCTACTCCTGGAATTTCAGAGAGGCAGGGCCATGCACAGAGGGAGGGTACCAGCCAGAGGGCCAGGTGGCAAGGCTGCCCAGGGCCTCTGCCCACACCACACAGCAGGGGGTCTGCCTCTGCCAGCACCAGGCATGAGGCCTGGCACAGAAATAGTGCTAAATAAAAATCTACTGAGAAAGAGAGAGAGAGAGAGAGAGAGAGAGAGAGAGGTGTACAGATAGATGAACAGGAGAGCTAGCAAAACAGTACTGTGATTAAATGTGTCACTTAGAATATTTTTTATTGAAGTATAGTGTCACTTAGAATATTGACTTCTCCACTTACCAGCCATGTGACTAAAGGCAAATTACTTAACCTCTCTGTACCTCTGACTCCTCAACAGTAAAATGAAAATAATAGTAGTGCCTTAAAGGCTTGTTGTTGGGCTCAAATGAGATAATACATTTAAAGCAGCTAACCCACTGTTTGGTGCATAGGAATTCGTCAGTTAAACTGGTTTTTATTATTATTAATTATGATGAGCTGAAGTCAAGATTCTGATCATTCATTTAACAAGAAACTCAAGTTGACCACATCAACAGGGCACAGTGAGCTGGAGAGAGCTGGATTCAAACCCCAACTCCACCCCTTACTACCTGTGTGACCGTGGGTACTACCCACTTAACCCCTTGGAGCATCAGTTCCTTCAACTGTAAGAGAAGAATCATAGTACAACCTTCTAGTGATGGTTACGATAATTAAATGAAATAATCAACACATGTTTGTCTTACAATGAGTATCAATAAGTAACAGTTACGACTTGTTACCTCCACCATAGAAGGGCAGCTCAGACTCTCCAAGGTATGTGTGGCTGGGAGGAAATTTAGGGCATCATCTCCCGGTCACTTAACCAAGCCCCAATTCTCTGACCCTTGTTTCCCCAGGTGCCTCCATGCTCACAGCCTCAGTGCACCAAATCCTCAACACACACGGTCCTCACAGCTTGTGAGCAACTCTCAGCAGGTACATTAGGGCAGTAAGAAGCAACCACATTTTGATCTAAACTTTCTCTTCTCAACTTTTTTGTTTTGTTTTCCCCCAAGGTCACCCCTGACCAAACCATAGTTTAAAGTGAGGGAGAAAAAGGAAAATAGTTCATATATCTGACTGATTCCAAACAATGCAGTTTCCTGAAGGTTCCACATTGTGCTTCTCAGGGGAGCCCCTGCACATGCAGCCCCCTCCCTACTCCCACATACAAATGAATACAACAGGCCCCTCCTGGGGCTCACACGCCAGTAGGGACACAGACAGGTGGAAGAGGAGGCAGGCCTGACCTCCCAGACCTTCCTTCAAGACCCAGCACACACAACACTTCCTCAGTGAGGCCTGCCCTGACCATCCTCATCAAGGGGGTGATGACCATTGCCTGCTTCCTGGGTACCTCCACCCTGGCCCCTACCACACTGGAGGGCACGCATTTGCCTGGCCACCTGTCTCCACCTTCAGACTATGTGCTCCTTGATGAAAAAGCTTCTGTGTTCACAGTGCTCTCTGTGCCCATACTGTCTGTTGGCACAGAGTGGCACTCCTCTAAGTGCTTTACCTATAGTAATTCATTTAACCCTCACGCCAACCCTATGAGGTTAAGTACGATTATTATGCCCATAATACAGACAAGAATACTGAGGCACAGAAAGGTTAAGGACCTTCTTGGAGTCACACAGCTAGAAAATGGTGGAGTCAAGGTTTGAAGGCAGACAGTCTAACTCATGACCACCCAACAGAATGGGTACTATTACGATTCCTGTTTTACAGATGAGAAAACTGATCCTTGAGGCAGGATGTCAGGGAGGGTATCAGAGAAGCTCTAGTAGGAAGGAAGCAGAAGAAACCAGAGGCTGGCAGAGTAAGAGTCTTCTCTGATCAGAGGTCACTGAGTCCCATGCCCTCACTTTACAGTCAGGAGACTGACCCCCTGCAGTGGGAAAAGGCAAGAATAAGAGTACTGTGTGAATGAACGTCAAAGCTGAGGCCTGGACCCAGGTCTCCATTCAGACTTGATTCCTGCCTCATCTTTAGTTCTGCATGCCCTCTGAAGCTGCACGTCTTCACGCTGGCTCCCTCCCCCCGACCCCTACAAAGTAGTTTTTTAAAGTAATGGTGACGCCATTTTCTCCAGAGTCCTCCGATTACGCTATCTGTTGCTACCTGCCTTAAGGTAACTGGTGCTGTAGAGACCACCACTGGGTTAGACCAAAGTTGCAAAGATAAATACCCAGCCAGGCAAAAAGGATCCAGAATGGAACATCTTCTAACTATCTAAGCTTGTAAACACTTTGTACTTAACAGGGAAAAAAAGGTTATTAAATAAACACATGTAGAAAAGGGAGAAAAAAGCTGGTTCCAATTATACAATTCTACAATCTCCCCTAAACAGTGTTTTAAGTTTGTTTGTATTTGTTTTGTTTTAGTGACCTGAAACAACAAACAAATTTATTTTCTTACATCTGGAAGTTGGAAGTCCCAAATGGGTTTCACCAGGCTAAAATCAAGGTGTCAGCAGAGGTGAGTTCCTTCTGGAGGTTCTGAGGGAGAATACGTTTCCTTGCCCTTCAGGCTTCTAGAGGCACCCACATTCCTTGGCTCATGGCCTCCCTATCTTCAAGGCCAGAAACGTCAAACTGAATCCTTGCCAGGTCACATCGCTCTAGTTCTCTCATTCCACCTCCCTCTTCGATTTAAATACCCCTAGCTATTACACTGAGCCCACCTGGATAATCCAAGTTAATCTCCCATCACATGTTCAGCTGATTAGCAACATTAATTCCATCTGCAATATTAATTCCTCTGACATTCAACCTAACATATTCACAAAACTCCAGGGGTTAGGACAGAACATCTTTGGGGGCTACTATTCTGCCTAGCACACTGTACGATTAATGAGTTACTGATATACCTTAATGCAAGATTTTTTAAAATTATTTATCCCTGCATATTTTTAGGTTGACATCTAGCATTATTCATTAGAGTTGAAAGGATGTAATTTCTGGCATTTTGTGAATCTCAATATTTATATCAGTCTCAAAAGTACCTAAATGAATTTAAATGTCATGGTGATTTGAAATCACTATCACCCATTAAAAAAATTTTTTTCCATACATGCCCTATACATATTTTATACTAAATTACTTTGCACTTACTGTTACTGCCCAAAAGTCATTCAGCTATTTAAATTCCGCTGCTAGACCTAGTATGTAACCATGACCTCGCCCACTCCACTCTGGATGGGAAAGACTAGAAATAATGGAATGGCTATGCATTTTACTGTGTATAAAATAAACCTCAATTTTAAAAGGGCAGGGGAGGATTATACCAGATCACTGTAGAAACTATGCCACCCAAAAGTCTGTCTAGGGGCCAGAGACAAAAGCAGTCTGTACCTTGGGGCAGGCTGTGCAGGCCCAAATGCAGGGTGCCTCAGACCCTCAGTCTGCCTGTGCCCTGACACCCCCAGCAGAGTACCCTTCACCACACCAAGCTAACTTCCACTCATCCTGCAGTCCTCAGCTCAAATCTTATCTCCTGAAAGAGCCCTTCCTAGATTCCCTCCTTCATCCAAATTGTTCCTTTCCTTCAAAGGACTTATCACAATTTGTGCATAAACATTACTTGTGTGCTTATTTAATGAGTGTCCATCTTCACCCCTAGACCACAAATTCCATGAAAGCAGACAATGGAATGACCTCTGCTCACTGGTACAAACACAGTGCCCAATAAAGTGTCTGGCATGTAAGAGGCACTCAAACATCTGGGCCAAATGGAATCAATACATGATTATCAATTCGGCCTCCCAAATACCTCAATCCTAGAAAAGGGGATGGTGTTCTGGATAAGGGAAATAGGTATTTTGGTCACCAGAGAGGTATCGGCTTTGTCACCTAAGTAAGGGGAAATTTTTCTTTAAAAAAAAAAAAAAAAAAAAAAAGGAAGAAAAAAACCTCCATATCCCATACAATTTCCATGACTTTAATTAAATAGTAAAATCCTCAATGCCAAGAAATAGTGTATCCTGCGTCTGTGTTTGGCCTGGTGACTCACAGGGTTCCAGCGTGGGCCACACCCTCTACCATCTTCCCTCCTGAAGCATGACGCTGATGTCTCACATCCCCACAGTAAAGATCCACACCTTTGGGTGAAGCACTGTCTTCACTGGCTCCTATTTCAAGTCTCCAGATGGCTTGGGATGAGGGCAGGGCGGCGAAAGGAGGAAAAGGCACAGACAACATGTCTCAGAGCAACATGCCCCTACTGACACTCAAGCCTGGTGCTTGGCACCTCCACAGGCTCAGAGGCATTTCGCTGACGAACCAAGTGAGACAAGAAAAACTTTTAACAGCCTCACAAGCCAATACTCAAAATCCCTGAGATGAGATAATGACTGAGGAGAAGAGGGGTCACCCAGGCTTCTAATTCTTCCTTTACCAACACTTTAAACCAGCATGAGTTAAAGACCTTCTGCTCTGGAGCCCAAGCTCATTCAGAGGGATTTTAGCCTAGTGGTTAAGAACCTGGGTCCTGTGGTCAGGCAGGCAGGAGTCTGACGGTCGTTCACCCTGGCCATGTGACCCAGGTCAAGTCACCTACTCTCTCCGGAGCTTCAGTTTCCTCTCCAGTTACCAACTGAGTTGTTGTGAGGGTTAAAAGAAATGATGATGTAAAACAGTGGGCCCTGAATATACAATACACTGAGCTATTAGTTGGAGCTGAGTTTACCTGGACGTTCTCTTCAGTCACCTCAATCTCGGCCGTATAGATGTAGTCAATCAGCTTACTCAAGGTCTGCCCATCCACATCCTTGATTTCTATCTTCTTGGCTTTACTCTCAGACATGTCACCTACAGTTCAAAACAAAAACAAAATGGACATGAACTTGGTGCCTAGGGTGTGCTTAACTTTCACATGGCCTCCTGCCCTGTCTTGGCAACATAAAAGCACTGTCTGTGCTCCCGGAGGCAGCAGAAGGGCTCAGGCACAGAGGAAGATAGACCAGCTGACACCAAGGTCACAACAACTCTGGGTCTGTGATCATCCACAAACCCAATTTCAAGCATTCCCCACTCTATCTGTTGCCCATTTCCACACTGAAGGCAAATCTATACATGATAAACCATTCAACCAAGTTACTGCAAACTTGTACATGGGGGCCAGGGAAAGTGAACGAGATATGCACCTGTCCTCAAGAAGGAGCACCTGTCCTCAAGAAGGAGCACCTGTTCTAGTAGGGCAGATATATAAAAATATATGAGATGATAAGAGCTTAATAGAGGTATATGCAAAGTACCAGTAGAACAACAATTTCTTAAAAAAAAAATTATTGAGTGCTAACTATGGCCAAGCACTGTGCTAAGCACTTTAAACTGTTGCCTATTTTAATCAACAACCTATGAGTGTTATTAATATCATCCCCATATTACAGATGAAGAAACTGAGGCACAGGAGTGTAGGTAATTCATTTTGCCTACAGTCATACATCTAGGAAGGGGCCAGACTGGGATTGAAAGCAGGGAGTCTGACTCTAGAGCCCCACACTTGTAATCACTATGGTGTATTGAATCCCAAGAATGCAGATGATAGAGCAACAAACCCTGTCTGGGGAATCCAGGAAGGCATCCTAATAGGAGGTCACATTTGAGCTGGGTATTCCACATGCAGCAGAGGTGAGGAAGGATGAGCTGGATGCAGGAATCATCAGTGCAAAGACAGAAAAGTGCCAAAAGTATAAATGTGGGGAACAGTGAGAGGGCAGCACGGCTGGTACGTGGGGTGACAGTGAGAGGAAGGAGGCTGGAGAGGCAGATAGGGGCCAGGACTTGCAGACCCCAGCAAACCATGCAAATGAGTTTGCACTTTATCCTAAGAGTAGCACCACTGAAAGGTTTTAAACGAGGGAATGACATCAACAGATGGGTGTCTTTGAATGAAATTTTGGATATACTGGTAGAAGCTGGATCAGAGGCAGGGAGAACAGATGGGAGGCCCTGACAATAATCCAAAACAGAGAAGACAGAGGTCTGTGAACTAGGGCAGCAGTGGCACCACATGTGCAGTCCCGAGGCCCCTGACTTCAGCCTGCCCTCTCTATACAGCACACAGCTCTATCTAGAGCCAGGCTCCTTCAACAAGGGCTGCTGATTTCAGAAGGAAAAGACAGGCAAGACATGTGTCTTTGTAGACTGAAATGAAGGGCAACATGACTACTAGAAACAGGGATTCAAAAGTCCTTATGTGAGTGTGAAAACTGAGCCTGGGCGGTTGTTTTCTCTCTGTGGAATCTGTGCGCTAGAGCCAAGAAAAGAAAGTACAGTACAGCATGTGGGCTGCAGACGCCCACCTCCAAGCTGCATGGACTGCATATGATTCCTCCACCAATCCCCAGTTCCCACCCTGACACAGTTCTAGATATGAATGACTCTGAACAGGGAGGAAAGGTGGGGGTGGGGGACCTATTCCAGACGTTGCCGGCTCCCAGTGCTGCCAGATCAGGTAGCCCAGAGACCCCCAGTTGGTTCTCTCTTCTCTCTGACTCTAGTAGAAGCCAGTGAAAAGTCTTCAGCACAAAGAGCCCTGAGACAGGACGAAGAGGCAAAGAGGAAACAGGAAAAGACGGTGGGTTTCTCCTCTACCTATAAAACAGGCTCTCACAATCTCTTTCTTGAATTTACTCTAAGACAAACAAGAACATACACGCAGGTTTCCCTGGTGGCGCAGTGGTTGAGAGTCCGCCTCCTGATGCAGGGGACACGGGTTCGTACCCCGGTCCGGGAAGATCCCACATGCCGCGGAGCGGCTAGGCCCATGAGCCACGGCCGCTGAGCCTGCACATCCGGAGCCTGTGCCCCACAACAGGAGAGGCCACAACAGTGAGAGGCCTGCGTACCGCAAAAAAGAAGAAGAAGAAAAAAAAAAGAACATACACGCAAGGAAATCAGAAGTTAAATTCATCTCTCCAAACAGCTACTAAGACATTCACAAATAAAGGTCCAGTTGGTAATTATATTGCAAAAGATTATCAAAGATAGCCAATTCTTAGTTTAAGAACTTGGACCTTAGAGGGACTTCCCTGGTGGCGCAGTGGTTAAGAATCCACCTGCCAACGCAGGGGACGCGGGCTCGAGCCCTGATCCGGGAAGATGCCCCATGCCGTGGGGCAACTAAGCCCATGCACCTCAGCTACTGAGCCTGCGCTCTAGAGCCCGTGCTCCTCTACAAGAGAAGTCACTGCAGTGAAAAGCCCGCACACGGCAACCAAGAGTAGCCCCCGCTCGCCACAACTAGAGAAAGCCCACGTGCAGCAACGAAGACCCAACACCCAAAAAATAGATAAATATATAAATAAATTTAATTAAAAAAAAAAACTTGGACCTTAGGAAAAAGAGCAAACAGCAACCTGACTGCAAGAACCAAGAGACTCAGAAGCCCTTAGTGAATGTGAAATCAGAGCCTGGCCTGATTGCTTTCTCTCTATGGAATTAGAGCTTGGGAGTCAGCTTAGGGTTTTGTAACTTGGGGGTAAACAAATGGAAACTCCTGAAATTGCATGAAAACATTTGTATATGTGGGAAAAAGTTTGATTTTCTGAGGGGATGAACAAATCATTTTCATCAGTCTCAAATGTCCAAAAAACATTAAGACACAGTTTTCTAGATGGTGGGACTTTGGGAGATTTTTTTTCTTGCTTCTTTATGTGAATCAAAAGTTTCTAATTTCTACATTAAGTACTTAAAACTCCACAAGCAAGGAAAAAAATGAAAAAAAAAAAGAAAACCTAGGGCCTCAAAGACATGTATTTTCTGAGAAATTTACCTTACAGGAAATTGGAGACCTATATAAATCATAAGGACTCATAAAATGCAATTTAATATCTCTATGAACCAGTAGAAATCACTGCACCAAACTAAGACATCAGTTTAAACAAACCCTGAAAGTGGCAGTAATAATAGTTGCTACTACATGCAGGCCCTCAGGGTTTACACACATTATTTCATTTAGTCCTTGCAACGACCCCAGGAGGTACTAGATATTACTTCCATTTTACAAATTATAGAACTGGCATATCAAGAGGCACTTGCACACAGCTAGTAAGAGGCAGGGCTGGGATCTGAACCGTGGCCTAACTCTAGACCTCATGACATTTCTAATAAATCCCTCTATAATTTAAACCTGACCCTAACTAATGGCTTTGATAAAAGTATTCCCAAACAAAGCCTATGTCCAAATTCTGAGCCAACTTATCCTTATTACCCAGTAAGCAAGAACAAAGAGAGATGGGATCTTGTCCTCAACACCTAACAAAGTGCGTGACATATGACAAGCACTGAAAAAATATTTGTTGGTACAGGGAAAGAAAGAAAGAAGAGAGGCTTTCTTTTGACATCTCATAAATCCACAGACTCTGATAATTCTAAAGAGGGAGAACTCATCAAAGGCTTGGTCATTCTTACTCCTTCACTCACTTCCGCTACTTTGACAAATATTTCTAGAGAACAGAACATAAGCCCAATAAGTCCTTCTCTATTCAAGGTCAACCCAAGACACCTGTTCTGCTGGTTTTTCTCAAGAGGCCCAGCCCAGCCCAGCCACTTCAGACTCTGAACTTTCAGAAAAGAGGAAATGCAGATGGCCAACAGGCACATGAAAAGATGTTCAACATCACTAATCATCAGTGAAATGCAAATCAAAACCACAATGAGGTAACATCTCACACCTGTCAGGATGGCTATCAGCAAAAAGAACACAAATAACAAATGCTGGCGAGAATGTGGAGAAAAGGGAACCCTCCTACCACTGTTGGTGGGAATGTAAATTGGTGCAGCTACTGTGGAAAATAGTATGGAGGTTTCTCAAAAAACTAAAAATAGAACTACCATATGACCCAGGAATTCCATTCCTTGGTATACATAAAAAAAAAAAACCAAAACACTAATTTGAAAAGATACATGCATCCCAATGTTCACAGCAACATTATTTACAATTGCCAAGATATGGAAGCAACCAAAGTGTCAATCAACAGATGAGTGGATAAAGATGTGGTTTATATACACAATGGAATACTACTCAGCCATTAAAAAGAATGAAATTTTGCCATTTGCAGCAACATGGATGGACTTGGAGGGTATTATACTAAGCAAAATAAGTCAGACAAAGACAAATTCTGTTTTCCATCACTTATATGTGAAATCTAAAACATACAACAAATTAGTGAATACAACAAAAAAGAAGCAGACTCACAGATATAGAGAACAAACTAGTGGTTACTACTGGGGAGAAGGAAGTGGGGAGGGGCAATATAGGGTAGGAGATGAAGAGGTACAAACTATTAGGTATAAAATAAGCTACAAGGATATATTGTACAACACAGGGAATACAGTCAATATTTTATTTATTTATTTATTTATTTATTTATTTATTTTGGCTGAATTCGGTCTTTGTTGCTGCGCATGGGCTTTCTCTAGTTGCAACAAGCAGGGGCTACTTTCGGTGTGGTGTGCGGGCTTCTCATTGCAGTGGCTTCTCTTGTTGCGGAGCACAGGCTCTAGGCACAGGGGCTTCAGTAGTTGTAGCATGCGGGCTCTAGAGCACAGACTCAGTGGTTGTGGCGCACGGGCTTAGTTGCTCCGTAGCATGTGGGATCTTCCCGGACCAGGGCTCGAACCCATGTCCCCTGCACTGGCAGGTGTATGCTTAACCACTGCGCCACCAGGGAAGCCCAGTCAATATTTTATAATAACTATAAATGGAGTATAACCTTTAAAAATTGTAATCACTATATTGTATACCTGTAACATATAATATTGTACAGCAACTATACTTGAATTAAAGAAAGAAAAAAAAGAAA